ATAAGATTTATCACTTTAAATAATTATTTTAAATTTAATAATTTAATTTTATCTTTTTTTATATTATTTGAAGTATTTTTTACAATTTACTTCAGAAATAAAAAATTTTCTTACTCTGATAAGACTATAAAAACCCAATTAAAAAAGATAATAACTAATTATTTTGGAATTAATCAGTATAGTCAATATCTTATTAATTAATTAAGTAAGTTTATCTAATATAATTTGCCTATTTTTTATTATCTCTTTTGATAATTATCTAAGATTATACTCTGTTATAGCTTTTAGTTAACTATTTCAAGATTTAATGATTATCTGTTATTCTTTTCAAAATGCATTAATTACTCAAAAAATCTATACTTGAATATGATCAAGAACTTCTGCAATCTTATGGATAATTTTCTTGCATTTCCAGTAACTGATAATTCTATCTTATTCAAAATTAGTCAATTCTTGATTTAATAACATTTTTTAAAAACTATAAGTAATTATTAAAGTATTGATGAATTATAGGACAAAAAATTAATATGTTTGAATAAGTATTAAGCTCATAATTATTATTTGAAGTTTATTTATGTTATTAATTTTTTATGTAACAGATCAGCTTTTGTCTGGTAAGTGTATAAAGAAATTGGCAAAATTCTTATTATAAGAAATATTAGAAATTGAATCAATATTAATTACTTATTATATTTATTTCTGATTATATTTGTTATGTAAAATGCATGATAATAATTCTCTATAACTTCAATTTACCCATTTTATACAATCAAATAAGTGATAGTGAACTTAGTATTATTATAAAAAGAGTAAAAATCATATAAAAATATTAGAAAACTTGAATAATGCTGGTCATATATGTGTTATTTCTTCTGATTTGACAGGAAAATTTTATCTGATCACAGATATTTTATATTATATGACATGATGATTCTTCATATGACTTATAAAAAAGATAAGTAAATCAGATTAATATATTATTAGAACTTATCAATGAGATTTGGTTCATGGATTCACCTTTGGGTTGACATAGTCATAACAAAATGATTAGCAATATCTGTAAGGTTATAGATATCGATACTAATTTAAGAAGAATTATCAATCATTCAATTTGCCCAGATTCTTACGGAGTTAAATGAGAAGATTATGTTCTTTTCTGATGTAATATCATGTGAAACATTTACCCATGAAAGATGCCGTATCATTAATCATTTCTGATTCTTATTAAGAAAAAAATGGGTTAGATTCTAGGACTACTGGTGTTATCCGAAATCTATTAGCAACTTTATCTAACAATACTCAGCATAGTAATTCAAGATTTAAGCTATACGATCTTAAATCGCACGAAGAAATTACAATCGAACAAAATCTACTATCTGTTTGCCAAAAATCTCAGTTAAGAATTGTCAGAATTGTAGCGTTAAGATTATATTTAAATAATGATAACGATAAGTTGTTTTGACAAATTTGTTTGCTTATGCATATTAGCTTTCTTTATATCCCATTTTTATGATTGCATTTCACTGGGGTAATAATATTATAAGGATTATGATCAATATTGAATTTTAAAGATGTCTAACTTGATAATGATAAGCATCGCTGACCCCATCATGAGTAAATAATGAACTTGAGATAACTACTTTTTAAATTCATTTATAATCCAATAAACTATTTTTAATAAAGTTAAAAATGAGTGAAAAAGGTTTTTTTAAGAATACTCGAAAATCAATTTCTTTCAATTGAAAATATAATAATAGTTATTGATGAAATATATAAGCAATAAAATTGAAAATAAACCATAAATTATCAGAATCACGCTCTTTTTAAAGAATCATTTATAATAAAAATTGTCATTTTATATCACATCCATTATATAAAATTCTTCTACATTTTTTAAATTGCTGACTACAGGAAAGAATGATTATATTCTGTGAATAATATGGTGATAGATTCAGCATTTGAAATTTCTTAAGAATTTTATATTTATAATATCCGGTTAATTTATTTAAATAAAGTCTAAATTGTATGAAAATATCTTCCTTTTCTAATCGCAAATATGTAAAATAATTTAAGTCATATGCGACATAATGCGTTGTTCACCTTTTGTCTCTATTTTTTATTAGAATGTCAAATATAAAGAATGAGGAACTATCTAATCCTACACTTTAACAGCTAGCAAATTCTAGCATATTAACCCATTAAGTTGAATTCGTCTTTTTTGATTGAGAAAACATGCATAAATTCTCACATACACCGCAGGATGCAATATGGATTTAAACTTTTATTAGTCATCGTGATACATGTAGTTTGAAGCTACGAAATTTTGCGAACTTTGTGAAACTTAAATCATATTGATAAAAATTATTGAAAGTGTATTCTTCATCCTGATGTTGGACGATTTTATTTCGCTTATACTTTGCATCAATGACAAATCCTATCAAGTGTATTATTCGTAGAAAATCAATATGACGTCTATGACATGAATTCAAACGTTTATGTTACTTAATATGAAATAATTTAGGGTTAAAAAAAGGTCATGACCACAATAAATACAAAAAAATTTTTCCGTGAATTATAATTTTTCATTCGATTCATTGTATTCGTCTATTAAAGCATCTTTGTTACTTTTATTTGCTACATGTATTATTATAAATAATAAGATACCGATATCTTATAATCACATTTTCAATTAAATCAAAAAATGAAAACGGTTATTTCCTAAAAGTCTTTATAACAGAGGTAGAAAATAAATTGTATTTTTTGATACGTTTTAATTACTAAAATAATACATGTGATTAATAAAAATAACCGTCAGAAATATTTAGATCAATTCTGTTGAAATGATGCAATATTTGTTTAATTGTGCTGTATCGGTATGCGGGGGCGAGGAATTGCATGTACATGTATAATGATAGTTAGATTATATACATGTACATACACATTAGGATTACATGTATTTTCGAATGTGCATTGTATATAGTTCATATACGTACCAATCCGAGAGTGGAGGAGCGACACATGCGTAGTTCCACAATTTTGTACTGTAAATTTAAGGGGAATTTCGTTTGCTGTATTCCCTTCATTATGTCAAAAAATTTTATTTAGTTAAAAATTTCATTCCCATGCTCTAAACTCAAAATTCTCGAGAACAGCATATTACATGCGCCTCGGAGTAGATGGGAAATCTCGCTATTCTATATAGGTAAAAAGTTTTAATCATTTTTACTTTTAGTTTTGATAAAATTTCGAGCTAATTTGAGAATTTTATTTACACTCAATTTTTTTACTATTTATATGAAATAATGCATTTTTTAAGTTTAATGGAAATAAAGGATATTAAATTTGCATTCTGCTTAATTTCCTTGAAGTTTTTATGACTACTGTGATAATTAATCCACCCGCTTTTCTATAAACCTTGTCTTTAGTATACTTTTTTTTGATCTGTTCAGCTTCTGAAGCAATACTTCATCATGATCACAATGACATCAAGTGCCATTGAAAGATAATTAATGAAATGACATCAATTTTACTATAGGCTACGAAAAATATTTGCTAACATTGTCGTCATTTTACGATGATCAATCGGTAGTTCAAATACCTCATACTGCATTTTCAGCTAACATATTTCTGAAAAATAACAAAAATGTTTAAGGTAAAATAACGGATCACGAGTCATAAGTTAATGTATAAAAATAGAAAATTTTACATAAAAATATCTTTTGAAACAAGTTATTGTGGTGTTTCAGATTTAAGGATCTAACCATATTGCATATCGAGATTTTTTTCATAACAATAGAGAATCTATAAATGGCAATTGGCGGCAATCGGATTGAGTGTACATCGACAACACAAATCAAAAACCCAAATGTTAACGTTAGAAGCTTCGTCATCTTCGTCTAACGGGAACGAATGGCTTGAGCTTGCGATCCTTAAAAAACAAATAAAATTTTACGACTTTGAAGAATTTACAAATAAAGAAATTATTGGCAGAGGATCATTTGATGAAGTGTCGAAAGCAGATGTAATTAATAGTAATTTGACGATTGTATTAAAAAGATTCTGGGTAACAAATGACCATGAAAATGCAAAGATAGAGATCAATAATACATTTATTAAAGAGGTGACTATATTTGGCAGAAATACAACTGTACATGTAACTAGCATATATTTGATTGACACAGCTGATAAATACAAGTTAACTTATCTTTTGTTAGTTCCAATCTCTTATTAAACTTGAACATCGTCATGAAAACATCCTTCAATTATATGGAATCTCAAAAGGTAAAAGATCAAAATGAAATTTCGTGTTTTTAACTTTGGGCAAGAACTTAATAAAGCTTATGAAAAAATAGATCTAACTTCGGATGGATATCTACTTGTTTTGGAGTATGCTGACGGTGGCACGTTGAAAGATTTCCTAGCAAACAATCGAAAACTTACCGGCGAAAAAAAATTTAGATTGGCATCGCAATTAGCCAAAGGATTAGAATTTATACATGATTCTGGAATAGTTCATGAAAATCTGGTATTGACTGACTTTTTTAAGTCCTACATGTATTGAAGTTAATCATTATGGATTAAGACAATTCTAATTTCACATGTTTCACTAATTTTAGAACCATAATAATGTATTAGTGCACCAAGGAAAAATCAAAATTTCGGATCTAGGTTATTCAAAACTCTCAAATGGTTATTTCAGTTCGAGTTCATATTTAGAAGTTATAAGTTATGTTGATACGGAGTTTTTACTAAGTTTTGATAATTATCGCCGAGACAAAAAATCAGACATCTTCAGCCTTGGGGTCCTTTTTTGGGTCATATCTAATGGTCGCATTCCATCCAACCAATTCGGATTTACATTTTCGAATCCAACAGATGAAGAAGAGATTACACCTAGCAAATACGTGGAATTATACAAAAAATGCTGGGATCATATACCAGATAATCGACCTGATATTCATGAAGTGAACCAAAAGCTTAAAGAAATCGAATGGCGATCAATGGAAAAAGATGATCCATCAGAATTTTTAGATAATGCTACTCGTAAAGTTCCGTTATCGTTATCACATCCGGAAATTTCAACGACTTTTCAACTAATACATGTAATCAATGAATTATCTCATATTTTGTATAATATGCTCAAATCCGGCGAAGCACAAGAAAAAACAGCACAAGAACTGCGCATGCGCATTGATGGACATGGTTGTGATGCACAATTAATCTCCATTTTACACCATCAAGATAAAAGTAACTTGAGAACTTTATTAGGATTTTTTTATCAATATGGAATAACACTTGATATGAATAGCGAATCAGCGTTTCAGAACTATCAAAAATCGGCAATCCAAAATGATTTATTATCACAATTCTTACTTGCAGAGTGTTTCCTATATGGAATCGGGACACAAAAAGATGAAAAAAAAGCGTTCGACTGGTATTTGAAATCTGCAGAGGGGGGAAATGCAATTGGACAATGCAATCTTGGTTGGTGTTATCAAGATGGGCTGGGAACACAAAAAGATGAGAAAAAAGCACTCAACTGGTATCTCAAATCAGCAGAAAATGGAAATGTTTTAGGACAATGTAATCTTGGTTGGTGTTATGAGAAAGGGATCGGTACACAGAAAGATGTTGTAAAAGCATTCGAATGGTATTCGAAATCTGCGGAGGGTGGAAATGCAAGAGGGCAATGCAATCTTGGATACTGTTATCGACATGGCATAGGAACTGACAAAGATGAGAAAAAAGCATTCGAATGGTATCTGAAATCAGCAGAGGGAGGAGATGCTTTAGGACAAAACAATCTAGGCTGGTGTTATCAAAAAGGAATCGGAATAGGAAAAGATGAGATAAAAGCATTCGAATTATATTGGAAATCAGCCATGGATGGAGACGCACGCGGGCAATGTAATCTCGGTTGGTGTTATGATAATGGTATTGGGACGCAGGAAGATAAGAAAAAAGCATTCGAGTGGTATTTGAAAGCAGCAGAGAGTGGAAACGCAAGAGGACAATGTAATCTTGGTTGGTGTTATGATAAAGGAATTGGAACACTAGAAAATCAGGAAAAAGCATTCGAGTGGTATCTGAAATCTGCAGAGGGTGGAGACGCTTTAGGTCAAAACAATCTAGGTTGGTATTATCAAAAAGGGATTGGAACACAAAAAGACGAGATAAAAGCATTCGAATGGTATGTGAAATCCGCAGAGGGTGGAGAGGCAAGAGGACAATGTAATCTTGGATTCTGCTATCGACATGGCAATGGAACCAACAAAGACGAAAAAAAAGCTTTCGAGTGGTATCTAAAATCAGCAGAGGGAGGGGATGCGTTAGGTCAAAACAGCCTAGGCTGGTGTTATCAAAAAGGAATCGGAACATTAAAAGATGAGAAAAAAGCATTCGAATTGTACTGGAAAACAGCCATGAGGGGAGACGCACGAGGACAATGTAAACTTGGTTGGTGTTATGAAAAAGGTATCGGGACACAGAGAGATGAGAAAAAAGCGTTTGAATGCTATTTGAAATCCGCAGAGGGTGGCGACGCAAGAGGACAATGTAATCTTGGGTTCTGTTATCGACATGGCATAGGAACCAACAAAGACGAGAAAAAAGCATTCGAGTGGTATCTAAAATCAGCAGAGGGAGGGGATACTTTAGGTCAAAATAATCTAGGCTGGTGTTATCAAAATGGAATCGGAACAGTAAAAGATGAGATAAAAGCATTCGTGTCGTATTGGAAATCAGCTATGGGTGGAGACGCACGAGGGCAATGTAAACTTGCTTGGTGTTATGATAAAGGGATCGGGACAAAGAAAGATAAGAAAAAAGCATTCGAGTGGTATTTGAGATCAGCAGAGGGTGGAAACGCAAGAGCGCAATGTAATCTTGGTTTGTGTTATGATGAAGGAATCGGAACACAACAAGATGAGAAAAAGGCGTTCGGATGGTATTTGAAATCGGCAGAGGGCGGAAATGCAAGAGGGCAGTGTAATCTTGGTATATGTTATCAAATTGGTATTGGAACACAAAAAGATGAAGGAAAAGCATTCGAGTGGTATTTGAAATCAGCAGAAGGTGGAGACACAGGTGGACAATGTAATCTTGGTTGGTGTTATCTAAAAGGCATTGGGATACAAAAAGATAAGGGAAAAACATTCGAGTGGTATTGGAAATCAGCCATGAGTGGGGATGCACGAGGACAATGTAATCTCGGTTGGTGTTATGAAAAAGGAATTGGTACACAAAAAGATAGGAAGGAAGCATTCGAATGGTATTTGAAATCGGCAAAGAGTGGAGACGCAAGAGGACAATGCAATGTTGGTTGGTATTATGACAAAGGTATTGGAACACAAAAAGATGAGAAAAAGGCATTTGAGTGGTATTTGAAATCTGCAGAGGGTGGAAACGCTAATGGACAATATAATCTTGGTTGGTGTTATCTAATCGGTACAGGAACTTTGAAAGATCGTAAACAAGCCATTAAATGGTTTCGTATTGCAATCAAAAATGATTTTAAGATTCCATTATTTGCAAAGCTTGTTTTATATTTTTGCGTTTAATCTTCCTATTTCCCTTTCTTCATAAGATAATATTATCGAACTAAGAAATCTATTTTTTATTTTCTTTAAAATAAGTTTGTTCCCTTTTATATTTATTAGTACTAAAACTTAATAATACATATAGTTGAAATTTTTAGTTCTCTTTATTTTCGCTCCTTTTAGAACAATTAAGAAATCAGAATCTTTACCTATATATGTATGGTCTTTCTGTTCCATAAATTATAGGTATAAACATTTATAATTGTTTCAAACGTTAGCAGTATTTAAATACCGCCAGAAAACGAATATTATGATACATGTATACCGACCTACGGTAAATCACCGGACTATCAAAATAAAACAGTAAAATACGAAATTTTCTCTACATAAAGACGATAACCTGTAGTTTACATTGTTTTTCTAATTGTAAGGCCACGGTCAGCAACTACAGGTTATCATCTTTATTTGATATAAAAATAAGATTTATTTTTATATATCGAGAAAATTTCATATTTTATTATGTTTATTTTGATAGTCCTAGTAGGGATGTATACTTTATTAATGTATCAAAAGTACCTACATGTAATTTGCTTTGGCTGACGTTTATTCTCCAAAAGCCCCCTAATAAAAAGGTGCTACGTTAATTATACGTACCAAAATTTTTCATGAGGTGCTAAGTTAATTATAAAATGAGGATAAAATAAGAAATTTTTATATACGATTTTTTTGTTTTCCGAACCAAAATATTCCATGATACAGTAGTATCATTCACATAAATTACATGTCATAGGCAATCAATTTATGTGTAAAAGCACATGTAAAATAAATGCTATTAATGTATTTTTCACAGAAATATTTACATATTATAAATATTACTAACTTTAAAAAAATGAATTATACCAGCATCAAAGGTTGCAATGTGCTGTAAATTTTTAAATAATGGGTATAATGTAATATTGAAGAAATCTTCAGAAGAAAAATCAATTCACTACAATGTGAAGGTGCTTGATCATATTGTCACTGCTCTTTATATTATCGTTATAAAAAGTGTTTATAATTTTGATTAGTTATACATTAAAAAAGGGTAGTTTAAGCAGTGCTTTAAATGCAGAATATCTATCATAAGCCTATGTGATGCGAGGATAGTAATCTAATTTCGTTCTGACGTATATAGAGAAAATTAACCTAACGCATCAAAAATCAAATACGTTGCTAGCATTCATTGTTAACAGTTAGTAATACCACATCACGAAATGAGGAAATTCAAATTTAAACTCAAAAAAATCATACAACGTATTTTTCCATTAACGATGCTTCAAAATATCGTATACTATATAAAAATTCCAAATCTTTATGACGACCACTGTATTAATTATATAGTGCATAGAATAAAAAAAAATTGTCGAAATTACCTGAAAATTTAGACACATCTTCTTTATAATCTATAAATCAAGTTGCTCAAAATATTTTACAAAATTATTATTAATTACATTTATTATTACACTTCCCTCAATAAAATTTATTGTAAAAAAATAAATCAGATCTAAAAAAGCATTATGCACATATTATTAAAATAATATTAATAATCCTATTGTTTTACTATAGGTGAATTGTTTATCATATTATAAAGAATATGTTTATAAATTTTGACATTATTCTGATGTTTTTTCATTAAATAATCAATAAAGATATAAAGTTAGTTACATTTATAGTTGTTTTTAGTTTTTATGATTTAATAGTATTTTAATAAGATATTATATCAATGTCTTAGGTAACTTTGTTCTTCATATCAAAAAAGATATATTCGCAAATTTTCACATAATTCTATTCATGCTTTATATATAATTGATATGCAAATTTAAAAATTCCGAACCTTCATGACTACCACTGTAACTAATGTGACAAAAAAAATAAAAAGTATTAACGTTAAGGAATGATATTCGAGGTAAAAATCTTTTAATTTTCATTTTATAAGAAAATACATGTACATGTATATCGATATCGATATTGTTATTAGCACAGATATTATTCACATCCAGAGATGATGAATAATGCACAATCAATTATTTGTTCATTGTCAAACATTTAGTCAATGACGGAGACTTATTCATTTATAAAGAAGCATCGTACGTCCTCTTTGAACATATCTGGCAGACATAGAATCAGATAATGAAATCGAAGAGTTTATTCAATCGACACCTGGAATTAAGAAATATCTTTCGAAAAGTTTACTGATATTGAGAAAATTGCCAAAGAGGGACTTGGCAAAGTGTACAAAGGTATTTTGAATGAAAAAAAGTCGCAATGAAGTCATTCTGAACAATAAAAGAATTATTGTATGAGGTAATTAATATTAAAGATGATGGCTAAAGTCACAATTTGAATTTGATCGATAAGTATGCGAAATCCCTATTTCCATAGTTATTTATTCATCTTTCTTCAAACTCTATTTGTCAATAATAATTTTACAATTAATGTTAAGGCCTCGAATGTTAAAAAAGACGGTAAAAATTATAATTAAGCTTATTATTTATTTAATTTCTAGTAATTAGCTAACTTGACTTTTTGATTAGTATAATTATGGGCGTAAGAAATCAACAATTTTATTTTATTTTGATTTTCTTTTATATTAATAAATTATTTCAAATCCATCAAAAATCTCTTATTAAACTTTTCCGTATCAAAAAACTTCTGTCTTTTGTTAAAAATCCCTTGCCTTTCACTTAACTAAATAATTAATTAAAAGCAGATTCAAGAATAAATAAAAAAGTTGAGATTGTGCAAAAAAACGAATATATTAGATTTATAGTAAATT